CTTAAAAATGTTTTTAAAAGTTAAGTTTGCACCCAATTTATATATTATTTAGAGTATTTCTGTAAAACAGTGGATATTCCCTTCCTCATAAGCAAATAGGATACTTGCCGTACCTACCTCAGAGGGCCACTGTAAGGATTAAATGAGTAATATGTACATGAGTAAATATGTAAAGTGCCTGGCACATGATAAGTGCTCTGTAAATGATAGCTGCTGTAGTATCTCTGCTCTTCAGGTTTTCTGTATCTTCAGTAAGGTTTTCTGTTTTTCTTCATGTTGATCTTGTACATTTCTTGTTGAGGTTATTCCTAGGGGTTTTTTTTGTGTGTGTATATATGGTTGTTGTTTTCTGTAGTTTTTAAACAGTTTATATTGCTATTATGATTGGAATTTTGGGGGGGAGATGGGATTTTTTTCTTTACTTTTTTATAATGGGTTAATGGAAATCTATTGATTTTTATTGTTGAGTAGTATTCCGTTGTATGGAGGCCCTGGATAGCACAGATGGTTAAGCACTCAGCTGCTAAATGAAATGTTGGTGGTTTAAATACACACAGAGTTGCCTTGGAAGAAAGCCCCGGGGATCTTCTTCCGAAAGATCACAGCCACTGAAAACCTTTGGAGTGCAGTTGTACCCTGAAACACGTGAGGTCGCCATGAGTCAGAATCAATTCCATGGTAACTGTTTTTTGTTTTTTTTTAAGAAAGCTATAGATTTCTATTGCTGAGTAGGATTCCACTGTATGGATGTACCACTTGGGTTAGTTTTGGTTTTTGGCTATTACAAATAAAGCTGCTATGAACATTCTTGGACAAGTCTTTTTGTGGATAGATTTCTTTTTAATTTAGCTTTAGGTATTATTTTCCTTGATCTCTGTACATTCTTACTTTAAAGGCCTTACCAGGTCGTGCTATGATCTGGTTCCTCAGGTCTGGTATTATGTTTAATGGCTTTGTGAATGATCTTTGATGATATTAGGGTTTTGTTTGTTTGTTACTGGTTTGTTTGTGAGCTCTCTTTTAGGGAATAATCTTCCATAGAACTCCTGCATGTGTTCTACAGTAACATCTTTGTGATTGACTCTGCCTGGGTCTAACAGAGCTCACCAATTTTGAACCAGTTTTACTTTTAATTTCTTCGCTCAGGGTTTCCTTTCATGACAATAAGGTGAATTTGGGCCCTGTACTGCCCAGAGTTCAGGCTTGAGGTCTGCCTTTTCATGAGTAACTGTTCCCACTGTCAGCCTGGGACAGGTGGCTACCTTATTGCCATGAGCCTAGGCCACAGTGGGTGGACACTTTCAAGTTTCTGTTCATGGACAAGGCAACACCCTCCTGGGTCCCAGTTGTGCTGTGGGCCTGTAGCCTAGATTTCTGTCCCTGGATTGGTGATATATCCCAGCTGTCGTGGGTTCTGGCCTCTGTCCAGCTTCATCTCCCACCTACCATGGATTCCCTCTTCCATTCCTGGCACTTGATGGTTTCCCTTTATTCTTTTTGAGCTTAACTGTGTATTAAATTTTATCTTTTTAATGTTTTATCCAGCATTTATATTGTTTAGAGTGGGAAGAGGAAAGTTTTTGTATCTTCTGAGATTATTTTCACCAGGAATTTCTTTAGGCAAGTTATGTAATCTCATCAGGCCTCGGTTTCTTCTTTAATAAAAGTACTAGGGAAAGTACGTGTAAAGTACTTAGCAGAGTGTCTCAAATAAAGTAAATATTTTAAAAACAGCATAGCTAATATATTGTTGTTTTCATTATTATTGGAATACCTGGGTGGTACAAACAGTTAAGCACTTGACTACTGTCTTAGCTAGTGCTGCTATAACAGAGATACCACAAGTGGATGGCTTTAACAAAGAGAAGTGTATTCTCTCACAGTCCATTAGGCTACAAGTCCAAATTCAGGGCATCAGCTCCAGGGGAATGCTTTCTCTGTCGGCTCTGGAGGAATGTCCATTCCGTGTCATCAATCTTCCCTTGGTCTGGGAGCTTCTCTGCACAGGAACGTCAGGTCCAAAGCACGCACTCTGCTGCTGGCATTGCTTTCTTGGTGGTATGAGGTTCCCATGTGTTTCTGCTCACTTCTCTCTTTTATATCTCAAAAGAGATTGGCTTAAGACACTATCCAATCTTGTAGACCTCATCAGTATAACCTCATCATAGCGACAGAGTTTACAACACATAAGGAAATCACATCAGATTACAAAATGGTACACAGTCATACAGTACTGGGAATCATGACCCACACATTTTTTGGGGGACATAATTCAATCCATGACAACTACTAACTGAAAGGTTAGCAATTCAAACCCTCCCAGAGGCACCTTGGAAGAAAGGCCTTGCAGTCTGTGTCCAGAAGGTCACAGCCTTGAAAACTGTATGGAGCAGTTCTACTCTGCAACACGTGGGGTCGCCATGAGTTGGAACAACTTGATGGCAACTGGCTTGGTTTTGGTTTTCATTATTATTTTTATTACGTAATCTTTGTTGTGATTCCATTTTTTTCCTCCAGTGGCTGAATATCTACCGGCATGATTATAACCGGGGTTGTTGTAATTACTAAATTATTTTTATAATTGTGTGGTTTTAGTGACAAAAACAGTACAACATATTCATGGGAGATACTAAGCCATAGAGAAGTGTGGGTGTGTTCAGCAGATTGCTCTGTCTATGGACAGTATAGATTTTAGGCTAGAGCTCACAGATGGAGAACCCAGAGCCCAGAATTGTTTTTATTTGGCTGGCCCAAGTTTTAAAAAATTGTAAATCTATTGCTGACATTAAAAATGATGATATTTCATATGAAATTCAAATGTTTGACTTCTCAGAATCATTAAAATATCTGACTACAGTGGGGCTTCTTCCTGCACAGGATCAATCAACTGGTGCTGAAATGGCTGCTGTCCCGTATTTCCTCCCCATCACTGAGGCCAAGTGCCTCTTGCCACTTATTGTCACACCTTTACTGTTGCTTTTTTTTTTTTTTTTAATAGTACAAAAATAGTACCTTATACCCAATACTCTATCAAAGTGGGAGAACAAAAGATAGTTGGAGAAAGCCACAAGTTATCTGAAAAATGGGAAAGGTACTATAAAGGTACTATTTTGTGGAGGAAATGAAGACTATTCCTATATATTTAATAGGTTGTGTCTGTGTCAGTTTTCTTACACTTGGCTTGCTTCACTTATTTACAGTAGCCTACCTGACCTTGTGGACACTTCAGTTTGCAACCTTTTTCTGAGCATCTTTGATATCTCTCTAAGATCAGCCCTTTTTTTTTCTTTTCTGATCACTTTTTCCCTTTTGTACTGCCCTCACTTACCTTAAAATAGTTTAATCAGTTTCTGTGAAGAACTATTAAGACTTCTGGAGCAACAGGAAAACCTGTTTCCTCCACTCCTACTGCCCACACATTCCAGAAAAGTAAAAAATCTCCCTCCCAACTTGCTGATGATAAAGAAAAATTTTTTTAAATTGAGAAGCAAAAGCTTTCATTCAACAGAGATTGAAGGTTTAAAATGCAAACACCTTGAGGATGATCTGTTAACCAAAATTCATTCATTAATAAATCAGCAAGTATTGTTGTTGTTAGGTGCTGTTGAGCCAATTCTGATTAATAGCGACCCCATGTACAACAGAACAAAATGCTGCTGGGTCCTGTGCCATCCTCCCAGCCATTGTTATGCTTGAGCCCATTATTGCAGCCACTGTGTCAGTCTGTCTCCTTGAGGATCTTCCTGTTTTTTGATGACCCTCTACTTTACCAACCATGATGTCCTTCTCCAGGAACTGGTGTCTTCTGATAACATGTTCGAAGTACGTGAAACGAAGTTTAGCCGTCCTTCCTTATAACGAGCATTCTGGCTGTACTTCTTCCAAGAGAGGTTTGTTTGTTCTTCTGGCAGTCAATGGCGTATTCAATATGGTTCACCAACACCATAATTCAAAGGTGTCAGTTCTTCTTTGGTCTTCCTTATTCATTGCCCAGCTTTTGCATGCATATGAGACGATTGAATATACCGTGGCTTGGGTCAGGCGCACCTTAGTCCTCAAAGTGACGTCTTTGCTTTTCAACATTTTAAAAAGGTCTTTTGCAGCAGATTTGCCCAGTCCAGTAAGTTGTTTAATTTCCTGACTGCTGCTTCCATGGGTGTTGATTGTGGATCCAAGTAAAATGAAATCCTTGACAACTTCAATCTTTTCTCCGTTTATCATGATGTTACTTATTGGTCTAGTTGTGAGGATTTTTGTTTTCTTTATGTTGAGATGTAATCCATACTGAAGGCTGTAGTCTTTGATCTCCATGAGTAAGTGCTTCAAGTCCTCTTCGCTTCAGCAAGCAAGGTTGTGTTGTCTGCATATCACAGGTTGCTAATGAGTCTTCCTCCAGTCCTGATGTGCGTTGTTCTCATGTGGTTCAGCTTCTTGGATTATTTGCTCAGCATACAGATTGAGGAAGTATGGTGAAAGGATACAACCCTGATGCGCACCTTTCCTCACTTTAAACCATGCAGTATCCCATTGTTCTGTTCGAATTGCTGCCTCTTGGTCTATGTACACGTTCTTCATGAGCACAATTAAGTGTTCTGGAATTCTTATTCTTCGCAGTGTTATCCATAATTTGTCATGATCTTCACAGTCAAATGCCTTTGCATAGTCAATAAAACACAGATGAACATCTTTCTGGTATTCTGTGCTTTCAGCCAAAATCCAGTCAGCAAGTAGTGAGATTTTAGCTCATTCTGTTTTGCTTAATATGATTTTATGTGACTAAGGGCATATAAAGGGCAATTGGCAGAGGACAAGAGCGTTTACTTGGGTGAGGATGGAGAAAGATGGAGTACAGAGTACAAAAGTGAAAAAATAAAAATACAACTTTTTGTTTTTCGTTTGTGAGTGGATGGATTGTAAGTGGAACATTTTTTAGGGGAAAACTTGTTTAGATATAGGTGTATATTATGTAAATAAATATATTTTTGCCGTTTGTTTTGCAGATTGTGGGATTAGTGATATGCTTTCCTGAACAGCAGAAAGTCAAAGATGTCTAGACAGCATACAGTGGCTTTGACAGTGACCACCCTTCTGGGTGTGGCTGTGGGGGGTTTTGTCTTGTGGAAAGGCATTCAGCGCCGGAGGAGTAAAACGAGCTGTGTGACCCAGCAGCAGCAGAAAGGGCCAGGCAGTAGAGAGCTGCCTCCTCCAGAAGAGATCCAGCTGCACTCTAGTGCCCCCAGAGCTTCATGGGAGGAGAGGATCCTCGAAGCAAAGGTGGTGACTGTGTCTCAGGAGGAAGAGTGGGATCAGATCCAGCCCTTGCTTAAGAGTGAGTTAGAAGATTTTCCAGTGCTTGGATTCGACTGTGAGTGGGTAAGTTAAAAAGCAAAAATAAAATAAATCTTTTCTGCTTTTCCAACTAGGGGACTTGGATGGTCAAGTAGAGAATAAAGTTAAAAGAAAATTAGCTTGTTCTTGACTTGCTTGCAAATAGATTTTAGAGGAGAAGTGCTGCTTTTCTCAGGATAGTGGAATGCTTAAGATCATAGATTCTGGAGTCAGATCTATGTCAGTTCCATTTTCACCACTTATCATTCTGTGACTTGGACAAGTCAGTTAGCCTCTCTCAGTCTCAGCTTACTTATTTGTAATAGGGATGTAATGGTACCTATCTCCAAGGGCTTTTCTAAGGATTCAAATAGCTAACCCTTGAAAAAGCTTCAGCACAGCTTTAACATGCAGTACGTACTCATTAAATATTAGTTATTATCAATGTATTTAACAATATATTATGAAGATGCCATGGAGAAGATAGTTAAGAAGATCTATTTAAGTGGAAATTATTCCTCTAATTAGGATTCAAAAAGATAATATTTGAAACATTGTTTACTATAAGCCATGTGCTATGCTATGTACTATGCCATGTACTATGATGTATTACATCAGGAAAATCTGCTGCAAAAGTCCTCTGTAAAGTTTTAAAAAGCGAACATGTCACTTTGATGACTGAAGTGCATATGACCCAAGCCATAGTCTTTTCAGTCTCCTCATCTTTATGTGAAATTTTGCTAGTGAAAAAGGAAGACAGAAGAATTGATGTTTTCAAATTGTGGTGTTGGTGAAGAGTATTGAACATACCATGGACTGCCAAAAGAATGAACAAATCAGTCTTAGAAGAAATACACCGAGCATGTTTCTTAGAAGTGAGGATGGTAAGACTTCTGCTTACTTACTTTGGACATGTCATCAGGAAAGACCAGTCACTAGAAAAGGATATCATGTTTGGTAAAGTAGAGGACCAACAAAAATGAGGGAAACCTTCAATGAGATGGATTGACACAGTAGCTGCAACAGTAGACTCAAACACCAATGATCCTGGAGGTGGTGCAGGACCATTTTGTTATACAAGAGGTTACCCTGAGTTGGAGCCAACTTGATGGCAACTTACAACAAGAGTCTACTGCCTCTAGTTAATTTTTCGAATAGCTTTTTCTTTGGGGAGTTACAATATAGCTGTAGTAAAGATAATATAGTAAACCTACTCTTCTGTCACTCTGATTCACTGAGTGACTTTGTAACCTCCTTGAAACAGAAGGTAATTCAAATATATTAATAAATAATTCTTATTTCCTCATCTCTTATTAATTCAGCATAATATCTTGCCAAGATTCTCTGATACATGTCTTCTAAATACCAGTAATACAAGCAAGAGCCAGGAAATATAATCAAAAGATGCCCTAAGCAGAATACCTGAAAAACCTGTTGTCCTCAAGTCAATCCCGACTCATGGCATCCCTATAGGACAGAGTAGAACTGCCCCGTAGGGTTTCCAAGGCTGTAAATCTTTTTTTTTTCCTCAGTTCTTTTTTTCCCCTATTGAGAATATACACAGCAAAACATACACCAATTCAACAGTTTCTACATGTACAATTTAGTGACATTGATTACATTCTTTGAGCTGTGTAACCATCCTCACCCTCCTTTTTGAGTTGTTCTTCCCTCGTTAACATAAGCTCACTGCCCCCTAAGGTCCCCATCTAATCTTTCAAGTTGCTGTTGTCAGTTCGATCCTATATAGATAGTTCTTAAAAGAGCATAATGCTCAAGACAGACTTTTTTATTAGTTAAGCTAAACTATTGTTTGGTTTTAAGATGACTTTAGGGCACATTCTTGGTTTAAGGTTTAAAGATTATCTAAGGACAATAGTTTCTGGAGTACATCTACTCTCCACGGCTCCAGAAAGTCTAGAGTCCATGAGAATTTGAAATTCTGTTCTGCATTTCTCCTCTTTTGATCAGGATTCTTCTACGGAATCTTTGATCAAAATGTTCAGTAATGGTATCTTGGGCCCCATCCATTTCTTCTGGTCTCATGGCAAAGGAGGCAGTTGTTCATGGCAGCAATTAGCCACACATTCCATATCCTCCTCCTGTTCCTGACTCCTCTTCTTCCTCTGTTGCTCCAGGTGAATAGAGACCAGTTATTGTGCCTTGGATGATTGCTTGCAAGCTTTTAAGACCCTAGCACTATGCAACAAGAACAGCAGCACTAAACATGTTATTAGGCCAATTAACTGGGATTTCCCCTAATGCTGTAAGTCTTTATGGGAGCACACTGCTGCGTCTTTCTCCGATGGAGCCGCTGGTGTGTTCTAATGGCTGATCTTTTGGTTAGCAGGCGAGCACTTTAACCAGTGCACAGCAGAGCTCCTCTAAGCACAATTGCTGCCACAGAATCAGTTCACAGAGTGGTAGGAGGAGCTACTAGATTCCAACGCAATGATGACAGCAAGAAGAGAGCACCTGACAATGTGGGAAAAGCTCAATCACAAAAACCCTTTCACCAGCTACTGAGGATATTTCTTTTTATCAGCAATAGTAGTACAGTTGGCCCTCCATATCCGCAGGTTTCTGCATCTGCTGATTCAACCAACTGTGAATTGAAAATACTTGGGGGAAAAAAAAAGTTCCAAAAAAGCAAAACTTGAATTTGGTGTGCTGAGCCCTACGCTGAATCCTTAAGAATGAAATGATGTGTAGCCATACCTTGCTGTATCCTCCTGCCATTTCACAGATCCTCAGTCTTTCTTCAGCACTCATTGTTTAAACATTGTTCTTTTGGTACTTGTGTTGTGTGCACCCTTTGTTTCTGTGGGAAAGAAAAGACTCCTAAAAAGCAGTTAAGTGGTCAAAGCAGTCCCCCAAAGGCTAAGAGGGAGCGTAAAATGCTATTTACATAGCACTTTACAACTGTTTACGTAGCATTTACATTGTATTAGGTATTATAAGTAATCTAGAGATGATTTAAAGAATAAGGGAGGATGTGTATAGGTTATATGCAAATACTATGCCATTTTATATAAGGGACATGATCCAAAGTTTTTGGTATCCGTGGGAGTCCTGGAACCAGTCCCTCATGGATACCAAGCGAGGATTGTAGTTTATACCAATACTGTCAGATTTTTAAATTTTGGCTATTTTGATGGATATATAGTAGAATTTTATTGTGATTTTAATTTTCATATCCTTGACAATTAATAAGCTTGAACATCATTTTATATTTTATCGACTATTTAGATATCCTCTTTTATGGAGTGCCTGTTCAGTCTTTCACCTTTTTTTTTTATTGAGTTGTCTTTTTCTTACTGATACATAGAGCTCTTTATATATTCTGGTTATGAACCCTTGTGAGTTAAATGTATATTGTAAGTATCTTCTCCCATTCAGTGGGTTGCCTTTAAATGTTATCTTTTGATAAACAAAAGATCTGTATAGTACAATTTATCCATTTTTTTCCCTACCAGTAGTTTATGAAGGTATGCTCCTATATTATTTTCTAGGAATTTTGTGATTTTAACCATGCACATTTAGATTTACAGTGCACCTAAAATTTACTTTTCTGGGTGTGCGTATACAATGTGAGGTTTTGGGTCAAGTTCATTGTTTCCCCACATGGATATCCAATTGTCCTAGCATATGTATTGAAAGGTCACTTTTCTGCAATGCCACTTTGTCACAAATCAAGTGTCCATTTATGAGTAGATCTGTTTCTGGGCTCTCTGTTGGTCTATTTGTCTATTCTTGCACCAATAATCACGAACTGTCTTAATTACTGTTGCTTTGTATTTGGGATGGCAAGACCTCCCATCTTGTTCTTCTTTCAGAATGTCTTGGATATTCTTGGTCCTTTGCATTTCTTTATAAATTTCAGAATCAGCTTTTCAGATTCTACAAAAAAATTTCTTGAGATTTTGATTGAGATTGCATTGGATCAATAGATCATATCATGGGGAATTGACTTCTTTTCGATGTTGAGTTTTCCAGTCTAAGAATATTTGTTTAGATCTTTAATTTTGCATAATGATGTATTTATGATTTTCTGTGATCTTGTTTTTTTATTCTATCGTAAATAGGATCTATAAAAAATTTTTGTGTTTCTGGTACATAAAAATGCAAGTGATTTTTTAATGTATTTCTGTGGTACTAATGAACATTGCTAAACTTTTTAATTCAAATAACTTATTTGTAGATTCTTTTTTATTTACTATGCACACTATTATATCTTCTGTGAAAATAACAATTTTCTTTCTTTCCAGTGTGTACACTTTTTGTTGCCTTGCAATACTGGCTAGGGTCACAGTACAGTATTCAGTAGAAGTAGTGGTAGTGGGCATCCTTGACTCATGCTTTATCTCAAAATGAAAGCTTTCAACATTTTCATCTTGAAGTATGATATCTCCAGTAGGTTTGTTTTTAGACTCCTTTATCAGGTTAAATACATTAAATTCTATTCTTGGTTTGCTAAGAGATTTTTTTTGCTTGTTTTTAATCATGAATAGATGTTGAATTTTGTCAAATGCTTTTTCTGTATTTCTTGAGATTATCATGTAATTTTTCTCCTGTATTCTGTTATTGTGGTAAAATACATTGATTTTTGAATTAGTGGAGTAAACCCAATTTGGTTGTGATTCTTATCTTTTTATACATTGCTGAATTCATTTTGCCTAGTGTTTTTTAGAGGATTAAAAAAAAAATTTCCAGAAGAGTAAAAAGAGAACCTACAGACTGGGAAAAAATTTTTCGACATTACAAGTCAGACAAAGGTCAAACCTC